TTTTTTGAGACGAAGTCTCACTCTGTCACCCAGGCTGGAGTGCAGTGGTGCAATCTCAGCTCACACCAACCTACGCCTCCTGGGTTCAAGTGATTCTCCTGCCTCAACCTCCCAAGTAGCTAAGATTACAGGTGTGCACCACCATACCTGGCTAATTTTTGTATTTTTAGTAGAGATGGGGTTTCACCACGTTGGCCAAGCTGTCTCATACTATTGACCTCAAGTGATCCACCTGCCTCAGCCTCCCAAAGTGCTGAGATTACAGGTGTGAGCCATCAGGCCTGGCCAAGGGATGGGGATGGTCCTGTCCTATGCTACCAGCATCACCTGCCTACCCCAACCCCAGTTTCTGCAGACTCAGTGAAGTCAGCTTCCTATTCATAACAGAAAAGAAATCTCAGACGGGCGTGGTGGCTCACGCCTGTAATCCCAGCACTTTGGGAGGCCGAGGCGCGTGAATCACAGGGTCAGGAGTTCAAGACCATCCTGCCTAACATGGTGAAACCCCGTCTCTACTAAAAATACAAAAAAATTAGCCGGGCATGGTGGCCGGTGCATGTAGTCCCAGCTACTCGGGAAGCTGAGGCAGGAGAATGGCGTGAACCCGGGAGGCGGAGCTTACAATGAGCTGAGATTGCACCATTACACTCCAGCCTGGGTGACAGAGTGAGACTCCATCTCAAAAAAATATAAATAAAATGAAATAAAGAAATCTCAGCCTCCCAGAATCCCAGGCCTGCTGTAGACTTTCAAGTTCTCATCTCCTTCCTGAGACTGATGTGTGAAGCCCCACTGCAGGACCCTGAGCAAGGAACCACTGGCTTGTGGTTGATTACTCCTTTGCATGGGGAGCTCATTACCTGTATTGGCTCATCCTGCCTCTGGATAGGTCAGATACGAAGTTTTCCTTTGCACTATATCACACAGACTGCCACATAGGCAGCCATGATGTCTGCAAAAGCGGCTAGCCAGGGTCCCTCCACCTGCCTATGGTCCTAGAAGATTTCCAGTCTTCACTGTGACTCAGCTGTCCCTGGGGTCATTCCAGGAGGTCTCCAGTCTCTACGGCCTGACAGCAAGGTTATCCCAGCCCCACCTGGACTAGTGCCCCCGCCCTTAGGCCACCCCTACCCCACATACCAGCCCGGTCAGCTTTTCACGCAGGCCCCGGATGTCATCCTTGAGTTTCTGCTCCTTGATCCGCCACTCAGCCTTGTGCACCTCGCGGCTCAGGTCCCTCTCCGGCCCCAGGGAGTGACGATTGGCCTCCAGCAGCAACACCCGCAGTTCGTTCAGGCTCCTGGGGGTGAGACAGGCACAGAACCACTGCACTCAGCCCCGGCTCCTCCAGCTCCCACACTGACCAGCTGGTGGGGGACATAGGCTACTAGATGGCATCTGTGCCACGAGGGGCCACAGTAGACACAATTCAACCAAGCCCAAGAGGGGCCAGGATTTGGGGTTGGGATAGTCTTGAGGACTTGACTTTTCCTAGAATACTGTTTAAAGTTGTTCTGGGGGGAGTGCAAAGCACGGTGGCTCACGCCTGTAATCCCAGCATTTTGGGAGGCTGAGGTGGGCAGATCATTTGAGTTCAGGCATTTGAGACAGTCTGGCCTCATCTCTACTAAACCCCATCTCTACTAAAAATACAAAAATTAGCCAGTGGTCGTGGTGGGAGCCTGTAATCTCAGCTACTTGGGCAACTGAGGCAGGAGAATCACTTGAACCTGGGAGGTGGAGGTTGCAGTGAGCCAAGATCGTGCCACTGCACTCCAGCCTGGGCGACAGAGCAAGACTGTCTCAAAAAAAATAAATAATAATTTTTTAAAAGAAAAGACAATATATTTGTTTAATTAAAACACACACACACACACATACACATACACCCACACACACACAGGACCCCAAAACATTTACCCAATAAATCTCATGAGGCAAGACATTTTATCTTTGTTTTAAAAATAGAGACAGGGTCTTGCTATGTTTCCCAGGCTCGTCTCAAACTCCTGGCCTCAAGTGATCCTCCCGCCTTAGCTTCCCAAAGTGCTGGGATTACAGGTATGAGCCACCATCCCTGGCCGGCAAGACATTTTAAATACCTGATGTCAAATAGGTTTTATTTCCCACGTCACCT